TGCCACGGCACTACAGCCAGGGTAACAGAGTGAGACTGTCTCAAAAAAAAAAAAAAAAAATTATGAGGTAGATAGTTTGCCCCATTTTTGCAGGTAAGGAAATTGAAGTGAGAGTTTAAATCATTTAGCTAATGAGTGGCAAAGCCTGATTTTTCTTTTCTTTTAATTTTTTTTTTTTTGAGACATAGTCTCACTCTGTTGCCCCAAGTAGAGTGCTATAGCATCAGCCTATCTCACAGCAACCTCAAACTTCTAGACTCAAGCAATCCTCCTGCCTCAGCCTCCCAAGTAGCTGGGACTGTAGTAGCTGGGACTGCATGGTACCATGCCCGGCTAATTCTTCTTTTTTCAGTAGAGACGGGGTCTTGCTCTTGCTCAGGCTGGTCTCAAACTCCTGAGCTCAAGTGATCCTCCTGCCTTGGCCTCACAGAGTGCTAGGATTACAGGCGTGAGCTGCCATACCTGGCCCGAAGCCTGATTTGAACCCACATTCATCTAATTTCAAAGCTTAGACTTTTCTCGATCCACCTTGCTTATTTACCTCCTTAGAGTTGCTTCTCTGCTGACAAATGTTGCCAGCATATGGATTGAATTGCCACAGAACTTGTGGGCTACTAAAATGTTATCCAAAGCCAAAAATTGGAAGCAGACACTAGGCTAATGTCTGTAAGCAAAAGGTTAAATAGTGCTCTATGTTTTGAGGCATTGTAGAACTTAAGAAAACCATTCTTTTTTCATGGTTGTACCTGGAATTTTGTGTTACACTGACAAGGGAAGTAGCCAGGCACATGGGTCTTTGACATCTGGGCCACTGAAAGTGGAGTAGTTTTCTTATCTTTGGTCCAGATTTCCCCTTAACTCCATCTTGTCTTTGCCCATGAGCCCTCTGTTGGCCAAATGGCATTTGTATCCCTGGCCTCCAACTGACAAATGACCATGGACAAAGCAACCCTGAATTTGAGCTGCATGAAACATGGCACTATGTTTTTCCTGTGCTATCAAGAAATCCCTATGTAAGCCTCCCTCTTGTGCCTGGCAGAAAGACTGTCATACTTCCTCATGGATGGGATCCCCATCCTCTATATGGATCATTCCTGGGGAATGAATGGCCCAACCAGTTCAGGAAGAAATTTTGCCTTGTGCCACTGTTCAGCAGCAGGCTTGCCTTTTTGGAAATAAATTATGGTCCAAAAATTGCCTTGGTTGAACTGCGCTGGGAGTTACAAAGCTTATTTTCTAGCCTCAGTCCCCACCATTAAGTTACTTTATGACTCTGGACCTCAGGTTCCCTCCTGCACGATGTGGGTGATAATAATACACCTCCACTGTAGCAGTGTTGTAAGAGTTAAAGGAGAAGGTGACAAAGTCTTTTTTTTTTTTTAAGACAGAATCTCATTCTGTTGCCCAGGCTAGAGTGCCATGGGATTAGCCTCGCTCACAGCAACGTCAAACTCCTGGGCTCAAGGGATCCTTCTGCATCAGCCTCCTGAGTAGCTGGGACTACAGGCATACAGCACCATGTCAGGCTAATTTTTTCTATTTTTGGTAGAGACGGGGTCTCACTCTTACTCAGGCTGGTCCTGAACTCCTGAGCTCAAACCATCCACCCTCCTTGGCCTCCCAGAGTGCTAGGATTATAGGTGTGAGCCACCGTGCCTGGCTAACAAAGTCTTTTCTAAAAAAAGAAAAGGAAAAAAAATTGCCTTGGCTGATTTCATTGCTCTATTCATGGCACAATATCTCTAAATTTACACTCAGAGCAGCTTCAGTTTCTGATAGGGCTTAGGAAACATGGACAGACTCTCTTCCATGGGCTTTCTGAGATCATTAGAAAGGCATAGCTCAGGTACCACATCATCTTGGAATCGGTTGCCTGTACTGTATGTATGAGATGTTGAGACAGGAAATCCAGCAAAATTCTATGCCTGTTTTCAGAGCAATTTTGTTTCTGGCTCCTGTTCTGGAGTCATGTAGGGAAGCCATGTCAGCCTTCCCTCCTGAGACATCTCCTTGGAGGGAGACTGGGTTGATGCCTCCAAGAAGAGATTGGAAGTGTTCTTGGTGGCGAATGCTTTAAAATATATTCTACACAACCAGCTGAGCCATATGTTCTGACTTCATGTGGAAGAATAAAGGAGGCAGTTTCTTGAAGAACATTGAAAAAATAGTTTAAACTCATTAGAAACTGTCTTTCAAGGCCGGGCGCAGTGGCTCACACCTGTAATCCTAGCACTCTAGGAGGCCGAGGCAGGTGGATCGCTCAAGGTCAGGAGTTTGAGACCAGTCTGAGCAATAGTGGGACCCCCCTCTACTAAAAATAGAAAGAAATTAATTGGCCAACTAAAAATATATAGAAAAAATTAGCCGGGCATGGTGGCATATGCCTGTAGTCCTAACTACTCAGGAGGCTGAGGCAGAAGGATTGCTTGAGCCTAGGAGTTTGAGGTTGCTCTGAGCTAGGCTGACACCATGGCACTCTAGCCTGAGCAACACAGTGAGAGACTCTGTCTCAAAAAAAAAAAAAAAAAAAGAAAAAAGAAACTGCCTTTCAAAAAGTGACCTTCTTGGCCATTCTTTTTTTCTGTGAAGTATTTTTCTTCCTTATGAGGGTCCTTGGAATAGTGGGAGGCGTCTCCATGGCTCAGGAAGTTTGGTTGAGCCCCAGAAAATTGTACTCTCTCTTCCAGAATGTTCAAAGAACTTTGGGCTCTTTAGTAGCCTCTGCAGTAGATGCGTAGTCCTTGGTGTACCATCTCTACTTCCAGAGCACAGGCTGAGTTGCTCCACATGAGCTTTTGATCAAGATGAGAGATATATAAAACTGTGCATCCCAAATTTTCCTTCTAAAGCTGGTCTAGACTAGGGTACTATCAACAGGTAATCTGGGCACAGTGGCACACGCCTATAGTCCCAGCTACTTGCGAGGCTGAGCTGGGAGGATCACTTGAGCCCAGGAGTGTGAGGCCAGGCTAGACAACCTAGTGAGACCCATTATCAAAAAAAAAAAAAAAAAAAAGAGAGAGAGAGAGAGGAGAGAGGGGAGAGAAAAGAGAGAGAAGAGAAGAAAGGAGGGAGTTGGCAGTTGCTTTTAGTTGGGTAGAATGAGTCAGGTTCTTCCCTGGGTCTTTTTTTTCTTAGCCATTGCCACAGAGCATCTTGCCTGCAGTTCCATTTCAGAAAACCCAATGCTATAGCCCCTGAACTAGACTGGAGAAACCAGCCAGCAAGGAAAGTAGCCTGCTTTGTCAAGGGATAGTACTTCCGCTGTTCCCTGTGTCTGCGAGTTGCTGGATTGTGAGGGAGAAGTGGGAAGTATCAGATAAAGGAGGGGAGGGCTCGCATATCTCTGGTTTTCTACACAACTGAGTAACTTTGTTTCTTCCAGAAGAGGAAAAGGGCTCAGGATAAGAGCCCTATATTTAAGTTTTGAAACTGCTAGAAATATTTATGTGTTGGTATTATTCAAGCTTTTTTGGCCCTTCTGGTTTGTCTGGTAAACTTAGGAAGGAAAAAAGATGCAAACTTTTGACCTTACTTTTGTCTGCTTTTCTGATCAGACAAAGCAACAGAACCAGTCAGAAAACATTCTTAGGCTAAGAATATGGAGACCTGATTTCTCAGCCTCAAAATCCTTTATGACCAAAAATCATTACTCAATGACTTAAAAAGAATATCTGCATACCCATGTCATTCGTTGATGGTAGGATGATAAACCATTCTATCTTACAAGCTGCTATGGCAAAAGTACCTGTAAATTAGCTTTATATTCTCTTACCTTTAAAACAGGGATATTTTCTGCTTCTTAAAACTATGTTGTATTTTTTTTTTAAGAAATTTAAAGCTCCTTGAGTCTCAGTTCCTTCCTCTGTTAAGTAAAGCCAATGCATACCTCTCAGGATTGTTGAAAGGATTAAGTGAAATAGCAAATGTGAAAATACTTTGCAGAATGCCTGCCACTTAACAGGTACTCAGAAAATACTAGCCAAACCTCTGTTGCTGGGATGTTGAAAATCAAAGGACAGCAACTTCTGTGAATGCCAACAAAAAGTAAAGCACTACATAACTGCAAGATACTATCATTACTTGTAGTGGCTGGGAAGTATGGGAGTGGGTAGGGATGGAGGAGGCTACCTCTAGTTCCTGGCTAGACCATTGGGAAGGGGGCATCTTATCTGACACAGGTAGAGAACAAATAAAAGGAGACATTGGGGGGCCAGGACTACTGAGAGAGGTGCCCAGCTATATGCAGTTAGCTTTCCTTAGCCCCCAACCTCAAAATGCTGCTGAGACCCAAAGCTCAAGAGGGCTAGGCCAATGTAGTGATCATTTTCCTAGGTTCTTCCTGTATAGGAGGAAATGGCATTGGTGTTCTAGAGGAAGAAAGAGTGACATTAGGAAGAAAGGGTGACATTATGAAGGTATATACGAGGGTTTTTTTAAAAAGCTGATCTGGGGCCAAGCGTGGTGGCTCACGCCTGTAATCCCAGCACTTTCGTAGGCTGGGGCAGGAGGATTGCTTGAGGCCAAGTGTTCAAGACCAGCCTAGGCAACATAGTGAGACCCTGTCTCTACAAAAAGTAAAAAATTAGCCAGGCATGGTGGCACATGCCTATAGTCTCAGCTACTTGGGAGACTGAAGCAGGAGGATCACTTAAGGCAGCACAGGTACTATGCTGTCACCTGGGCGACAGAATGAAACTTTGTCTCCCCCCAAAAAACTGGTCTGATTGCCAGCTTAAATTGGTTTCATAAGGGTTAATTTGGTTCATGTTTTGTGCCAACATTCTTGGTCATGTATGCTTTAGTGCCTGCTCCATATGTGGAGTTCATCTCCTATTTAGGGAGCAGGAGCATATTAGACTTTAGTGCCATGACCCACCTGAGTCACATCCCGGACCTCTAGAGCCTAGTATCTCTGAGCTTGGCTCCATGCCTGCTCCTCTTGGGCTGCGCATCCTGGCTCTGTTGTCAAAAGCATCCTCGATTTTTTTGTACTCTAGGCTCCCAGAACCCAGGCCGAAGCTCACCTCCCCCTGGTTATGTCCCTGAACGGCAGCAGCACATTGCCCGGCAGGGGTCCTACACCAGCATCAACAGTGAGGGGGAGTTCATTCCAGAGACCAGCGAGCAGTGCGTGAGTATGGCGAGCAGCGCGTGAGTATGGCGGGGTGGCCAGAGTGTGCCCATGGCCTTTGTCAGACTGAGGTTATAACGGGGGGTTCTTGGTAGGCACAGTGCAGACCTGAGGGGACTTGAACCCTACCAAATAGCTCTTTTATAAGCCAGGCCTGCACAAATATGACTTATTCCTTTCTAAGGGCCAAATATCAATTCCTGCCAAAGATAAGATCTAGTCTGCCTAGCCTCCTTGTATTGGGTGAGCACTCGATAGATTTTCCCTCTTCATGGTCCTCTCACTGGTCTCCTGCAGAACACCACTCCGATATTTGTATACATATAGAAATACATTTGTATACATATATTTGTATACAACCACCTGTCTTCTTTTCAGCAGTTTTAGCATATGACCTGTCCTAAACTGACAGATTGTGTTTTTCATTGACTATATTTTAGTTTTGCTATTTCTTGATGAAAGGGAGTAAACCATATACAAATTACACTGTAGAGTTGGTTAGGGTGATTTTTCTATGATGGTAGAGAGCTGTATTAGTTATCTATTGCTACATAACAAATTACCACAAAGTTAGAATCTTAAAATGACATAAACATTTATTGTGGGGTAGTTGTTACCTTAGGTTGTGTCTACCACAATAGCTTAGCCATTTTAATGGCTTTGGTTTTTAACCAGTGGCTTACTTCATGTAAATGGCAATTTGCTTAGTGAATTCAGCAAGGGTGAGACCTCTGGCTTCATTCTGGTCTTTTCAGCAAGCTTGCTTTGATTGCAAAGAGAAAGGTCAGTTCTTATAATTTCTGGGATTTGGTCTGAGAAGGAGAAATTTCTTAAGGGTAAAATGTCTAACAGAATGGCCAGTGCCACCACATGGGAGATTTTATAAAAAACTGATTCTTGTAACTTTTGTTTCATTATCAAACATATAAGGCTGGGCGCAGTGGCTCACACCTATAATCCTAGCACTCTGGGAGGCCAAGGTGGGAGGATCGTTTGAGCTCAGGAGTTTGAGACCAGCCTGAGCGATACCCCATCTCTACTAAAAATAGAAAAAAATTAGCCGTGCGTGGTGGCATGCGTCTATGGTCCTGGCTACTCAGGAGGCTGAAGCAGTAGGATCACTTGAGCCCAGGAGTTTGAAGTTGCTGTGAGGCAGGCTGACCCACAGCACTCTAGCCCAGGTGACAGGCGGAGACTCCATCTCAAAAAAACAAAAACAAAAATCCACATATAGGCTAGGAGAAGCCCTTTACACTCTTCTTCTTCCTCTGTACTCCTGCCTTTTAGATAAATTCATGTTGCAAACAGTGACCTGGAGTGCCTTTAACCACACATTCCCTTCTTGGGCATTTTCCTGACCATCTTTTCTTCTGGTTTCTCTAACCGAAGCACTTCTGAACGTCAGCTGTTCTAGAGGTGATGCGGGTGTAAAATCCCACAAATTGGATATTAGCTCGATTGCCTTTGGTCTCTGTCTCTCCCTATGGTCCTGTGCCCTAGCCCCTTCACTTCTGTACTTTACCTGCCTGGCCCTGGAAGGCATGGGAGGATTTCACTCCTAGTGAGAACGAATGTTTCAGAACGAGGTCATGGAAGGTGGTGGCTGGGGATTGCCAAGGTCCTTCCCCAGTATCTACCCCTTTAGTTAAAGAGGATTGCTCCTGGTAATAGGCCATTCAAGATAAATCCATTTAACAGGGGCAAAAACAGTATAGTATGTAGTGAAAGAATATTCCACTGAGACTTTCTTGAAAAGTGAAACTAAGATTAATTTATTTTATTTTTCTTCAATCAGATTTAGGTATTAGTTGCATCTGTTTGCTAATTTTTAGAATGAACAAAGCATGATTCATGCTAATTTTTTCTGCTTAATTTTTCTAACAAAAACTTTGCTAGCACAATGTAACTTCCTTTACTTCCCCTTTGACTTCTACAGCCCTATCATAAAGAGGGTCATTTTTTGCAAGAGCATTCATAGGACTCAGCATTTTCCCCAAGGCCTCTCTTCAGCCTTTGGTATTCTTCTTCCTCCATCATACCTGCTATGTTGTTATAATCATCCATTTTCTCTTTTTCTGTTAGCTGGTCTAACTTTGCCAAGCATGCACTTGATGAATTAAGAGCAATTCTTTCTCATGTTGGTTTCATTTACTTTGGGACATCCTGTATCCTTAGCAAGATTTGCATTTTTACTTTGCAGTTAATTTGCCTTAATTGGCAGATTTTTAAAAATCATATATGACAATATGACCTAAAACATTTAAAATTATGAGTGGGGATAGTATTAAATGGGAAAAGATAATTTGAGTTGGAAACTAATTTTATGAAGGTTGCTAGTGAATTTTCATAATTCTGATATTTGTTTTCCTATGTAACATTTAATGTTGGAGCTCAGATGATGAATTCTCTGAAATTTTCTGCACAGAGAAAATGAAGGGGTGGACCCTTCAGGAGATTAATTGGAGAAAAAGCTATTCTGAAGGCTTTTTGTTACTTCATTTGACCAGGGGCCAGAGAAATAATTTATATAGATACCTATTACCTCTGCATGGAACCAGGAACTGGGAAGTTTTTGTTCTGGTACCAGCTGTACACTAAATAGTTTTATGACTTTTTTAGACAAGTCTCCTAACCTTTCTAGTCTTGTAGTACTTATCTGTGAAATGAGGCAATACTTGTCTTTGTAAATTATAAATTATGGAGTGTAAACAGAAGCATTAAGGTCCCACCCAAATTCACTGGAAGCCTCTACAGGGTAGTACCATCTCCAGCGCCAGGTCTCAATGTTAATGAGCCAAGAAAATGCCAACAAGAGAAGCAGCATCTTGGCTTTGCTCTCCTGGCAGAGCTCCTTGGGATGCCAGCCAAGCATTTTTCTCCCTCTTGGAAACTTGCCCTTCAAACTAAAGGGGAGAATGGTACCTTACTAACCATTCTTCCCACTGCATGAGGAGAGAAAGGAAACTTCATATTTTGACAAAAAGGACCATTGGCTGGCCCTGACTAGGTCATAAAGCCTGGGTTACCTGGCTGGAATTTGGGCTAGGGCTATGGTTTTATTTTACAACTTGCCTTACAGATGCTGGATCCCCTGAGCAGTGCAGAAAACTCCTTGTCGGGAAGCTGCCAATCGTTGGACAGGTCAGCAGACAGGTATGGGACTATGGGTGGTTTGGGGGGTGATACATAGGTGTTTTTGGAACTGTCTTAGGAAGTAGAGTTAGCTAGTGTGTGTCTCTGAGCTAGACTGTAGGCCCAGGGTTAAAACATCATGCTTCTTAGGAAAGCCTTCTCCTTATTTCCCAAAGCCATGAGAATGTTGTGTTTACATAATTCAATGAATGTAATAACAGCTCATAAAATAGCAGCTCATTTATTAAGTGCTGTGTTGTTCTAAGTGCTTTACATGTTTTGACTTTCCACATAATATAATGCTGGAAGTATACTTTGTACTTGGCCTCATTGCTATGATCTGAACTGAGAAGCAGTGGATCATCCATGTTTTAGGGGAAAAACTGAATTCTCATCCATTGGTTTACTTCCATTTTTTTCTCCAAGTGTTTCTGGGACAATAAGAAACTGAAATCAGAAAACAAAACATCCAGACTGTCTAGAGTACCACACTGGCTGCTAGCTGTGTATCTTGTTCTTACACTTGGGGAGGAAACAAGTGCTGTCCTTTACATGCCAAATGGCTCTGTGCAGGGGTATGTTTGGAGCAGGCCTTGGCACTGATTCCACCACTCCCTTGCCTAAACCTCATTATGCCCAAGAGCATGTTTGATCACATCTGGCTGGGCTTAGGGCTATGGTCAGAGGCTATGGACCAGGTTTGGGGATTTCTTTTTTCCTTTATGGAATTGATTGTTCATGTGAATAGTGATCTTGCGACTGTGGCCAAACTTGTCCTATCTCCTAACAGACTGGAGCGTGGGTGAGCACTGTCTTCCCTCTAGATATCATAGAATACAGTCATAGTTACTTGTTGGTTTCCAATATCTACCCTTGTTTTGGGCTTGCTCTCCAACTAGGGGAAGAAGGCACAGGTAAGAGTGCCAAGGGTTGGCTGGGTGCGGTGGCTCACACCTGTAATCCTAGCAGTTTGGGAGGCCGAGGTGGGCAGATCGTTTGAGCTCAGGAGTTTGAGACTAGCCTGAGCAAGAGCAAGACCCCGTCTCTACTAAAATAGAAAGAAATTAGCCAGAAAACTAAAAATATATAGAAAAAAATTAGCCAGGCATGGTGAAGCATGCCTGTAGTCCCAGCTACTCAGGAGGCTGAGGCAATAGGATCACTTGAGCCCAAGAGTTTGAGGTTGCTGTGAGCTAGGCTGACACCGCAGCACTATAGCCCAGGCAACAGAGTGAGGCTCTGTCTCTAAAATAAAATAAAATAAAAGAATGCCAGGGGTTGCTGCCACAGACTGAGAGCTCTGCCAGGGCAGGGACTGACTCTGACTTTTGTCTATCTCCTGAGCTTTGGTGGGGGAGGTCAGGAGGGGAGGACTACAGAACATGTAGTAGTTGGAAAACAGTAGGGGACAGCTCCCTCCACCCTTTTGGCCCTCTCAAAAGGCACTCTTGTGTAAGGGAAAGGGCTGGTCATGTGGATGCTGGGAAAGATAGCTGAACTTACCCATGTCTCTAGTCTTAGGTTTCTCCTCTGTCCCTATAATGCTTTGTTTTCTTCTTATTAGGAATGATCTGGACTAACTTCTTGAGGCCTGGGCTTGAATTGAGCTCAGTGCTCTCATCTTCTCTTCATGGGGAAGGCCATGGGATCTGGAGCCAGATAGACCTAGATCCAGTCCCAGTTCCACCAAATATTAGTTGAGTGGCTTTGGACAAGTCCCTTAACTTCTCTGTTCCTCAGTTTTACCGTCTCTAAAATGAGATGATGTGATTAGTCTGAAAGGAAGATGCCTGGTTTAATGGCAGGAATGTGGACTTTGGAATTATAGACCTAGATTTGAAGTCTGGCCCTGTTGCTTACTAGCTGTATCCTTGGACAAGTAAATAGGAATATGTAATGCCTAACTTCTAGGGTGTCTGCAAAGACTAGAAATAGTATAGCAGCTGTTTAGTCATTGGGACCTGCTATTATACCATATTTCCTACCTCACAAGAGAAAAAGCTCACTTTGTAAAATAGGTAAGAAAACAGCAATCTGTAAACCGTGATGTTGTTGCTATTTGTTACTGCCCTGGGCAAAGGATTCTCTTGCAGCGCTTCACCTATTACAGAGGTGGGAAGAAAGTCCAAGAAGGGCAAGGGGTGTGTAGCCAGGCAGAAGCGTGGTAGGACGCTAGATTTCTCACACAGGGGCCTGTCAGATTTGGGCCTCAGACTAGTGAAGGGAGGGTGGAAAGAGGAGGCTGGGCTCAGAAAAGGGCGTTTTCCCTCTGCTCCCCCTACCCAGTGCTGTGGGAGGGAGGGAGATAGGGAGTCCAGCTGGATGCCCTGCTGGGCTGCTCTGAAAGTACGGGGAGGTCTATTTTGTGATTTCTTTTTATTTTCTCTAGCCCTTCCTTCCGGAAATCACGCATGTCCCGAGCCCAGAGCTTCCCTGACAACAGACAGGAGTACTCAGGTGAGTTCCACAGAGCCTGGGTGGGTGCTGCAGGGTGTCGGGGTGGAGCCACAGACACTTGTGCTATGACCACTCTGAGTTGGTAACTTTCCTCAGGCCTGCTGCTCTGAGGCCTCAGGTGACCTGGGGGCTTAAGTGATTCTCCCACTTTGACCTTCCCGGAAGCCAATGATTCTCTTGTCTTACTCAGATCGGGAAACTCAGCTGTATGACAAAGGGGTCAAAGGTGGAACTTACCCCCGGCGCTACCATGTGTCTGTGCACCACAAGGACTACAACGATGGTGAGTGCACCTGCACCCTGCCCCCTGCTGACTGCCTCAAGAAAAGAGTGCTGGCCAGGCACGGTGGCTCACGCCTGTAATCCTAGCACTCTGGGGGACCCAGGCGGGAGGATTGCTCAAGGTCAGGAGTTCGAAACCAGCCTGAGCAAGAGCGAGACCCCGTCTCTACTATAAATAGAAAGAAATTAATTGGCTAACTAAGATATATATACAAAAAATTAACCGGGCATGGTGTGGCACATGCCTGTAGTCCCAGCTACTTGGGAGGCTGAGGCAGGAGGATCACTTGAGCCCAGGAGTTTGAGGTTGCTGTGGGCTAGGCTGATGCCACAGCACTCACTCTAGCCTGGGCAACAAAGTGAGACTTTGTCTCAAAAAAAGAAAAAGAAAAGAGTGCTTAGAGCTCCACCATGGAAAAGTGGCCAGGGAAAAGCCATCATGAGGGGCCTGGGCCCAGGCTCTCCAGACTCTGTTTTCCTTTATGCCTGAGGAACTGTGGCCCAAGACTTAAGGCACAGGAGACAGAAAAAAACAAAAAAGCCAGATAGAGGGAGAGGTATTTGTAGACCAAGATGTTGCCGCTGGGAACTCCTTTGTCAGAGTCTATGGCGTGCTCCAGGGGCACCATCTCTCTGAAGCCTCTTCTTCCCTGCAGCAGCAGACAGCCTGGGGCCACGCAGAGGGGTGAGGAGCAAGATTCGAGGAAAACAGCCTTTACCTGTGGCTTGGCCTTGTGAGCATCTGGGGGCCCATAGGCCAGCCCTGTGCCTTTCCTTTGGCCAGGACTCCCTGAATCAGGCAGGCTTCTTCCTAACTTCTGTTTTTCCTTATTCTTGGGTTGCTTGGGACAGGAGCCTTTGTGGCATGAGTCAGGCGGCAGGGCAGATAGTATGGGCTGCAGCTGATGGTATCTATTACTTATAGAAAGGACCTGGTTTGCACATTTGGCCTTGTGGTGAGGGGTCTGACTTGCTCTGGTCCCTGCACCCTTTCAGGCAGAAGAACATTTCCCCGAATACGGCGTCATCAAGGCAACCTGTTCACCCTGGTGCCGTCCAGCCGCTCCCTGAGCACGAATGGCGAGAACATGGGTCTGGCTGTGCAATACCTGGACCCCCGTGGGCGCCTGCGGAGTGCAGACAGCGAGAACGCCCTCTCTGTGCAGGAGAGGAATGTGCCAACCAAGTGTGAGGAGCTATCCTTGGCTAGGAGGGGACAGCCCCGGCCATCTCAGACAAGCTGCTGGGCTGGGAGCATGGCCAGGCCACTGGGACCCTTAGGCTCAGCAGGCAGCAGCTCTAGCCCATCTTCACCACACTAGAAGAGCCTTGGAGTGGGCATCAGACCCCTAAGACCCAGGGCTTGATCCACTATTGTGTGACAAGCCACTTCTCCTCTTTGGACTTTAGTTTTTCCTTTTTAAACTGAAGAGCACACCCTTAATCCCTGCCATATTAAAATATTTAGGGGCTTTGGAAATAAAGGTATTTGATCAATGCAGAAGAGCTTTTAACCATGATTTTAGCCAGTCCTCTGCTTCTCAGGACTCTGACCTTAAGGTCTGATTGACCAGGGCACTGGTGTGCTCCAGATTGGGGTGGTGATGGTGCTGGGTGAGAGGGGACACTGGGCCAGAGGTCCCATTACAGAGCATCTAGAGAATGAGGTAGGATTATCAATAAATGATATACATGAAATAATGCTCTTTCCTTCTGTTCTCCTGTAGCTCCTAGTGCCCCCATCAACTGGCGCCGGGGGAAGCTCCTGGGTCAGGGTGCCTTCGGCAGGGTCTATTTGTGCTATGATGTGGACACAGGACGAGAACTTGCTTCCAAGCAGGTCCAGTTTGACCCAGATAGTCCTGAGACAAGCAAGGTACTACCCTCCCCATGGCCTTTCAGAAAGCCCTGTCTTATTGCACAGAGTAGTTGCTTTCCCTGTTGTTCTTCCTCCCAGGCTGCCTTGCTGTCCACCCTGGCTCTGAGGTGGTCCACAGTGCACCAAACACCCCGGGGAGGGATTGGGTATGAGGAACTGAGTCAGTACCAAAGTTCTAAGCAACCCAGACTGAGAGGCCATGACCAGTGCCACAAAGATGGCCTGTCCCATCCACCAAACAGATACCTCTCCCCTTACCCCAGTCCAGGGGTTCACTCGCTTAGTCCAGCTGTAAAGGAGGCATCTTATGACCCGTCTTCGGAGTTCAGCTTGGATGTGGCCTACACTTCAAATTGAGTGGACAAATATAGCAATTACCTTAACTAAGCACCCACAACCCCTCTTCCCACCTGCCTGTCCACCTTCTTCCAGGCATAGAAGTGCCACTGTCTCAAAGCTTGCCTAGCACTGGGGCTAAGGGCGAGATAGTCTAACGAGTCCCCTTTTCTCCAGTGGAAGTTCCCAAGCCAGACCCCTGTAAGGCCATTGACTAGGGCAAGCTGAGCTGAGCCCAGGCAGGCAGAACCAGAGCCCTGAGGGCTGAGGCTGACTACTGACCCCTCCCCTAGGAGGTGAGTGCTCTGGAGTGTGAGATCCAGTTGCTGAAGAACTTGCAGCATGAGCGCATCGTGCAGTATTATGGCTGTCTGCGGGACCGTGCGGAGAAGACCCTGACCATCTTCATGGAGTACATGCCAGGGGTATGTGCCCCTTGACTGCATGTGGGGCCTGACCTGGGGACTGCAGGAGAAGGGTCACCTTTGACATCAGTCTGATCACCTGAGGCTCCAGAGGTGATAGCAGGACTTAGGGTCAGGAGCGCCCTGCCTCAGGTTGCAGTGTAGTGTGAGACGAGAAATGTCCCAGGCCCAGCCCTCACCAGAGACTGGCGGGGCTGGCGTCGCTGGTGTCCTGTCCAGGAAGTACAGCCTTCACCTGGAGCAGGGGCCTGCCTCCCTTCTGGATTTGGGTTGTATGTTGCTTGAAGGAAAGATTGTTTCATATTCTTCTCTCCAAGCTGCCCAGCAGCTCCTGGCAAAGTGCCTAGAATGTCGCAAGTAGGAACTGGGTGAATCATACATTTGCTGCAATGCTGAGGGCTAGAATAACCTTGCCCCCTTCCTATACCCTTCCCCTGAGGGGACTCCCTCTGACTCCTTGTGGCTGGTAGGGCTCCGTGAAGGACCAGTTGAAGGCCTATGGAGCCCTGACAGAGAGTGTGACCCGGAAGTATACCCGGCAAATCCTGGAGGGCATGTCCTACCTGCACAGCAACATGATTGTTCACCGGGACATCAAGGGTAAGCAGGGGTCAGGCTGCATGGAGGCCCCAAGACCTGGGTTCAAGTCTACCATTTAGTGACTTAACTATTCTGAACTTTCTGAAAAGTGGGACCCCAGTTACTCCCTTAGGGGACTGGTGTGAAGATTGGTTGAGCAACTTAGGAAAATGCCAAGTTCTCTGCATATATTGACCATGGTAGTGGTCATTTTTTACAGCAGGTCTGAGGCTTCCCTTTGCTAGACTACTTGCTGTATGTAGTTACCATGGGCCGTGTGCAGTGGTAGGGCCACCAGCAGCTGTCTGACCTGGGGAGGGAAGGTGGTAGAAAATGCAAGAGAGTCCAAGGTTACAGCTTCTGCCCTTTCATGCCTCAGGAGCCAATATCCTCCGAGACTCTGCTGGGAATGTGAAGCTGGGGGACTTTGGGGCCAGCAAACGCCTACAGACCATCTGCATGTCGGGGACAGGCATGCGCTCAGTCACCGGCACACCCTATTGGATGAGCCCTGAGGTGATCAGTGGCGAGGGCTATGGAAGGAAGGCAGACGTGTGGTGAGTGCTGGACGTGCGGGACCCCATCTCCTTGCCTGGGCTATAGTGTTCTAAATTAGAAACTCTCCTTGGGGACTTTGAGGTGTGGTAGATGGGTGCATTTAGGGCCCAGGCTACATGTGTGCAAGGGTGTTGGTGTGTGCAGGAGCTCATATGACAGATGGGTTGTGGTTTGTTTTGTTTTGTTTGTTTGAGACAGAGTCTCACATGTTGCCCAGGCTGGAGAGCAGTGGTGCAATCATAGCTCACTATAGCCTCGAATTCCTGAGCTCAGTGTGAGCTTCCTGCCTCAGCCTCCCAAGCAGCTAGGACTACAGGTGTGTGCCACCACACCCAGCTAATTTTTTTTTTTGGGTAAATTGTAATTTTTTTATTGGAAAACAAATATACAACTTGGAATGGATTTGAGGCAAATTGTGCCATAAGCAGATTTTCTTTAAGTGGCTAAAACAAAGTTTAAAAAGCAAGTAACAATAAAATGTTTCTGGTACAGGACCAGCAGTACAAAAAAATAGTGTACGAGTACCTGGATAAAATACACCCGTTTTGCAATAGTGCAACTTTTAAGAACATATTGTTGACTGTCCATAGTCCACGCAGAGTTACAACTCCACACTTCAACAACAACATGCTGACAGTTCCTAAAGAAAACTACTTTTAAAAAGGCATAACCCAGATGTTCCCTCATTTGACCAACTCCATCTAAGTTTAGATGTGCAGAAGGGCTTAGATATATCCAGAGTAAGCCACATGCAACATGTTACTTGATCAATTTTCTAAAATAAGGTTTCAGGACAATGACAGTAAGATAAGGGAAGAAAACATGGAGGAATGAAGTCCTAATTACTATACATGCATATTTTTTTGACAGTAGGGAGAAACCTTTTACAGATAAGTTACAAACAAAGAAAAGGCAAATAAACAATTTTGTACAAGAAATTTAACACATTCTGTACAACGTCTTCACTTTGCTGTCATCATTTGTACAAACTCTTCATAGTTTACTTGACCATCACCATCAATATCTGCTTCCCTGATCATTTCATCACCTCTTCATCTGTTAACTTCTCTCCAAGGTTTGTCATCACATGGCGAAGCTCTGCTGCACTAATATAGCCATTGCCATCCTTGTCAAACACACGGAATGCTTCTCTAATTTCTTCTTCACTGTCTGTGTCTTTCATTTTTCTTGCCATCATGGTCAGAAATTCAGGGAAGTCAATCGTTCCATTACCATCAGCATCTACTTCATTGATCATGTCCTGTAACTCTGCTTCTGTGGGATTCTGCCCAAGAGACCTCATCACAGTTCCCAATTCCTTTGTTGTTATAGTTCCATCACCATCCTTGTCAAATAGTGAAAAAGCTTCTTTGAATTCTGCAATCTGCTCTTCAGTCAGTTGGTCAGCCATGCTGCAAGCGCTACTGGTTTCCGAGACGCGACCACACAACCACTCGGCTCGCTAGCTCCACTCGGACTCTAATTTTTTAATTTTTAAAAATTTTTTTAGAGACGGGGTCTACCTATGTTGCCCAGGCTGGTCTCAAACTCCTGGTGGCCTCAAGCGACCCTCCCATCTCAGCCTCCCAGACCACTTGGATTAAAAGCATGAGCCACTGCCTGGCCTAGATGGGTTATGTTTTAACCCCAGGTAGCAAACTGTTTGTTAGTGCTGGGAACTTAGGCCATGGAAAACATCCTGCATGTTTGTAAAATCCATTAAAGATGTAGGGTCCACTCTGAAGGTCTGGATCAGTCCCTAAATAAGAGCAACTTCTGCCTTCTCTGCTAGTGCTTTACCTAACTTTATGTCTATCCTCAAAGGCCCAGAAATGTGAGAGTTTTTCCCCTTGGAAAGTTATTGTGGTGGGCTGAATTAACAGTCCTGCAAAGACGTCCATGTCCTAATCCCTGGAACCTGTAAATGTTACCTTATATGGCAGAAGCGCCTTTGCAGATGTAGAGTGAAGGATTTTGAGATGAAGAGATTATTCTGGATTATCCAGGTGTATTCACAAGGGTCCTTACAAAAAGGAGGCAGGAGATTAGAGTGGGTAGCAGAAGGTGTGACTGTGGAAGCAGGAGGCTGGAGCGAGGCAAGGAGGGGGCTGTGAGCCAAGGAATGCAGGTGGCCTCTAGAAGCTAGAAATAGCAAGGAAACAGATTCTTCCCTCAGTGCCTCCAAAAGGTACCATCTCTGCTAGCTAACACCTTGACTTTAGCCCGGTGAGATTAATTTTAGACATCTGACTTCCAGAACTGTAAGATAATAAATTTGTGTTGTTTTTGTGTCACTAAGTTTGTGGTAATTTGTGACAGCAGCAATAGGAAACTAATACAGTTATCTTGCAGCTCTCTTGTCACTGCTAAGTTTTTCTCTTTTCCCCAAGCTCAAGAATGCCCTAGGTGGGTGGGCATGTGTAGGTTGCTGAAGCTGTGTGGACAAGGGGCTGAGAGTACTTTGGAGCCTCTTCTGCCCTTGGGGATCCGAGAGATGCCAACCCTCAGCTTGGCCTGTCCTGTGCTTCGCTGTGTTCTGAGAAAGGCTCTTCTTTCACAGTGGTAGGCAGGACAGCTGGGAGCCCCGGGCTGGCCAAGGGGTGACATAGGCCTCTCTCTCTCCAGGAGCCTGGGCTGCACTGTGGTGGAGATGCTGACAGAGAAACCACCTTGGGCAGAGTATGAAGCTATGGCCGCCATTTTCAAGATTGCCACCCAGCCCACCAATCCTCAGCTGCCTTCCCACATCTCTGAACATGGCCGGGACTTCCTGAGGCGCATTTTTGTGGAGGCTCGCCAGAGACCTTCAGCTGAGGAGCTGCTCACACACCACTTTGCACAGCTCGTGTACTGAGCTCTGAAGTCCACGCTGTTGCTGGCTGCCCTTGCCACACGAGCAAGGGGCTGCTGTGGGCTTGGCGAAGTTGCTGCTTCTCCAGGCGAGGCTGTAGACCACAGAGCTGAGCTACGCCCAGCCAGCGTTTGTCTGCGCCCCTTCTGCCACTGGGGCTCAGAGCTAGGGTGGGGTGTCTGCAGCCTCAAAGACTGAGAGTCCCCAGTCTGCCAGACCCAAGAGCTCCCAGTGTCCTGAGAGGGCCGGGAACAGTATGCTAGGTGGCCGTGTGGGCCCTACCCTTGGGTTGTGTCCTGACGCTGCAAAATCTGCACCAAAGCCCAGAGGATCTGGGGGCACAGGACTGATGCCAGGGTATGAATAGTGTTATTTTCATTCAGAGTGTTACTTTGTTTCTCCTCTCAGTGTCTGGAGACCACCAGGATGTCTTGGGGCTGGATGAGCCCACTGAAGCCTGAGGTAAAGCCCAGCATGCCCCAAGCAACGGCAGGCAGAGGCCCAGGCTGCCCTCCCCAGAGCCCTGGTCAGCTCTGCCAGTCCTATCCTGTACCAAAGATGAATGGAGCAAATGTCATGCTGCCTTATTCAGGGAAGGAGGAGCCTGTCCTGCCTGTCCCCGTGCCCCTGCTTCATTAGCAGGGGCCTGAGATGTGGAACTACTCCCACTGAGGGGGGAGACCCAATTTTGTCAATGCAATTGTCTCTGTTTTACAAGTTGGAGTCACTCTTATGCTGTATCCAGTTTCTAAACTGGAGACTTTGTGCCCTCTGGGCTCTGAGGACCCCTGCTGTGGGCCTGGGTCTGGGCTGGACTGGGAAGAGCTGGAGCAATGGCCCTTGTGCTCCTGACCGGCATCAGTTCCCCCACTGGAGTGGGAGGGAAGGTGGACAGCACAGTGAGGGCATCTGGCCTGGCTGGTGCCTTGAGCCCAGAGAGTCTGGGGAGGTGTCTCAGGCTGCCTGAGTTGTCACCTGCTAGGCCAGAGCCCCCTCTGTCTGCTAGAAGGAAAAGCCCACATGCTGCCACCAACTGTGTCTGAAACCGCCAGCTTTGTTCTTCCTTAGCCAGCCTTGCCCACCCCTAGGAGGTCTCAGCCTTTCCCTTCTTGTTCCTCCCCAGGGGGAGAAGTGGCAGCAGGGGTCTGGGAAGCAGCATCTCCAAGCAGCTTAGAGTTGGCCATATTTACCTCAGCCTGGGCGCTGGTCCTTTCTTCCGGCCCCTCCCCTCCAAAATGTGCCTATTGCTCCAGCTCCTCCCTCTCAACACCCAGTTTCCTTGGGAGTTGTCATGAAAGGAAATAAAAGCCAGTGCCCAGGGATGAGTGTCTCCAGGAGCTGGGGGTGAGCGGCAGGCAGCCCTGCCAGCGTGCCTGCGATCCCACAGGCACAGAACAAGCCAAAGCCTTCGTTGTATGTTGACGATGCACTTTTATGAATGTAGTTTCTATCGCTGTTTTTAGCCTTTTCACATCATGTAATGTGAGGCCTTGTACTTGTTAATTTATATCTCAGATCATATTTGATGGTTTTTATATATATCAATCTAGACTGTTACAGGTGATGGACGCCTCATGAGAGAGAAGAAAAAATGAAAGCAGCTGGTTTTGCAGAAATGTGTGCTGCATGGTGCCAGTTGGGCCTGGGCCCCTCTGTTTCTATCCGTTTCTCCCCAAGGCCCCTTTCCACTCCACCCTGCCCTCTGAAGACAGTGAGCACGTGCTCCTGCCTCCACTTCGGCCCTTGCCCAGGGTGGGGCGTGGCCCCTCATCTCGACCAAAGCTGCCGTGTGGCAGCTCGGCCTCTCCACGCCCACATCCTGCTGCCTGTACACTCTTCTTGGCCCCCACCCCCAGCCCCCGGCCCTGTTCCCCAAGAGGATGCGGGCTGACTCTGCAGCTGTGTGTGTCCCAGGTTCAGGCTGTCACAGAGCCCCATCCCCTGGGGTCTTACCTCACAGGGAATGTGTTTTAAAAATGAATTTGAAAACAAGCCAACAAACCTACACTCCAAAAAACCAAAAAAGTCCCTGACATTTTTGTGCCAAAAACTGTGGACATGCTATTTCAGCATCCTCAGGATCAAGCTGTTGCTTAATTTTAATTTATTGTTTTTTATTAACTAATCCAGATGAAAAGTTGTGGGGCTCTAGGACGACCTGGGCCCAGAGGTTCTGAAGGGCAGTTTCCTAGCAGTCCCAGGCTTGCTGTGGGAAGAGGCCGTGCCATCATTCTCTCATCATTCCGTGGGGCGTGTGCCTTGGCCAGCCCCGCATGGAGAGGCCAGGGCTGGGGATGGTCCTGCCCTCCTGCCCCGCCTGCTCGCCCACCCACCCAGCTCTGTGTCTGTGTCTGAATTGTGGATCGTGCAGAAGAACCTGCAGCCATAGTTATTTGACTATATCTTGACCGAGGGCTTGCAGTGCAAAGCCAGGCCAGTGTCGTGCATTACTTACAATAAAAGGGATCATTTATACCAGTGGGGTCCTGTGGCGATGCTTTCGGTTCGTTGGGGGTGTAGGCAGGTGCTTGCCTGGGAGGGGCTCCTCAAGCAGAAGAGAACTTCAAGTGACTCTAAGCAGAGGGGTCCTGAGTTGACTTGGCTGGGCACCACTGTTAGTCCAGAGGTGGCTCCCCCTTTCTTCCACTTGCCCCTCCAGGAGTTCCACTGGGGGTGGTTCCATCAGGGTTAACTTACCAAGGTGGCACTGTGGCCCACTTGACCCAAGTGTTACCAGTGGCTGGGTTCCTGGGACATCCATGGCATCTGGTAGGGTCTTCCTGGCCCAGAAAAGGATTCCCTTTAGTCCCATCCTCCAGGAGCCACCTCTCTGCTATCTCCCTCTTGTCCACCTGCTGCTATTGCTTAACTCTGAGCAGGCAGGAAGGCACTGTCCTTGTCCACATCTGAGATCTCAGGTGCAGGAAGTTGGGCCTGTTCTGAGAGGCTCTGAGCAGCCCTCCTCTCACTCTCGGGACCCAAGCCTGTGGTGCCATCTCTGCTTCCTCGAGGAGCAGCTCCAACCTCAACATAGCACAGTGGCCCATCTGCCACCAGAGTTGGAGGCCCAGCTGCCTACCCTGGGCCATGGGTATGAGGTCACTTAGGAACTCAGTTGCCTGGGGTGGTGGCAGCAAGTCCTCTGCTGCAAACTGTCGTCCCTCAGTGTGCCTGGGTTTTCAGAGGAGCAGATGAACTGAGTTTGAAAAGGCAAGGGGAAAATGGCAAGGAAGGGAAAGGGCACAGGGACAAAGGGGTAGTCACTGAAACCTTCAGCAGCACTTGCTGGGTCTACCAGTTCCCATCATTCCTGATTTCCAGGGCAAAGGGCTAGGAATAAGGGGAAGGAGGTTCTGACTTTGGCCCCTCACGTTCAAGTGCAGCAAGGCCAGGCGCCAGCACCCACTGACAGCCAGCCCTCCTGCTCCTCGGGCCCAGTGCTCGCTCTCCTGTTCACACTGGGGTGTATGTGTGAGTCTGTGGCCCTGGGGTGTCTTAACCAACCCAAAGCTGAGGGGCAAAGTGAGGTTTCAGGTATAAACCACTCTAGGTTTGCCGCCCTGGCTGGGGAGAGGAGCAGCCCCTTTTCTCAAGCCGGACTCCTCCTCCCATCAAGGCCAGTGGTACTCTGGACTGGTCCTGTCCCCACTTCCCATGCCCATGGTGAGTCTGCATCCTTCCTGCCACAAAGCCCCCCCAACAGTGACACAATACAGAGTCAGCAACTGTTTAAACATTTTAAACATGTTTAAAATGGGGTTGATCACAACAGACAGACGGGTAGAAACAGGAGGGGAGGGGGCTGTGGCCAGCCCCACTGCCAGTCTCTGGGGTGCTCAGCTTGGCGGGTGCTTTACTTCCGCTTCTCCACGGACAGGGGTGGTTCGAGATGGTCGCAAGCCCCGCTGGGGCAGGCCCTGCCTTGCCTGGGCAGGGTGGCTCCACTTCCCCATCCCCTCCCCCACGGGCGTGCAGTAGCATCCATGAGGCCTAACAGGTGGCACCCTCCTTCCTCTCTGTCTCCATGGCTCAGGACCAGGCTAAGGGCGGAGGTAGATGGGGAGACTTATGGGTCGGACATGGCCAGGCCCGGGTGGCAGTGAGGGAGCTTAGGACCCTGAGGAGGGCATGCTGACTCCTTGCTGGAGAAAAGGCACCTAGATAGGGAAGCTGGGGTGGAAGGCAGCAGGAAGCAGGGCGGTGAGCAAACCCCAATCCTGGTTCCAAACCCCCACCCCTGGGGGAGAAGGAAGGAGTCCTGGAGCCGGGCCCTGCCCTGTGCCCCTCTGCCTGAGCAAGCCTCATCCCTTCCCGCCCTGCCCCTGTCCAAGCCCTGACCTGGCCCCACTGAGGGAGTGGAAGGCCTCAAGCTGTCTTGGTGCCAGGGTCCACCTCCTTGTGGGCCCAGAGCTCCTTGTGCTGCTTGCGGCCAAACCCCTCATCGTAGTTGCCTTTGCTCTTAAACAGCTGCTGAAAGTGGGGTTTGCAGTAAAACTCCCCGTGCAACGCCGCGTAGCTGCCCAGGCTGCAGAAGCAGAACACCCATGTCAGGGCAGGCGGGGCAGGGGCAGGGGCAGGGGCTGGCGGGGCAGGGGCGCACCTGAGTTTGGTGTGACAGTGCTTGCAGCAGAAGCAGGTGTTGTGGAAAATAAGCTTGTCTGCCACCAGCCGCTCCATGGGGTACACAGTCTTCTGGCAGGCGGCGCAGGTCTCCTTCACCTGGGCCCGCAAGCTGAAGGACTGTGTGGGGACACTCAGCCAGGGCCCTGCCCTGCGCCCACCCCTCCTCCCGCGCCCACCCTCAGGGCCCTACCTTGGAGCGCTGCACCGTGCTGCCGCCACCGCCACCTTTGGCTTCCTGAGGGAGAGGGGCAATCAGACCATGCCCCACCACAGCTGCGGTCACCACCCCAGTTTTCAGTGGCACTCAAGAGAGGCAAAGGGCGGCAGGCAGACACGCTGCTCCTCCTCCCTTCACCCCCAGGCCAGGCACCTGCCCAGGGGCCCCTCCCACCTGGCTGGTCACCTACATGAGATGGGGTGGCCTGGGCGGTTCCTGCAGCCTGGAACATGGCTCGTTGGAGGTGGTGATGGCCCCGAGTGGAGACGCAGCACGCGCTGGGTTCTGCAAGGGGAAGTCGGTCGGGAGGGCCCCACAGGCCCTTCCCCAGCCTGCAGGGGTGGGGGGTGTTTACAGCAGGGGCCTGGGGGGCTGCGGTTGGGACTTTCCCTAAGTCATTTCCTGTTGCTCTAGGTCTTGCCACTTCCGCCCCTCATCCCCCCACACTGCTCCCCCAAGGGGCAGGGGTCCTGAGTGGAACCGTGCGTGGGGCAGGAACAAAGCACAGGGCCGAGGGGCTGGAGGGGCGGGGGACTCCCCAACAGCCGCCGTGTGCGCCCACGGGCGGGGACCCGCCTGGGGTGAGGGGAGGTCAGGAGAGGGCGGGGCGGACGGGGCCGCGGTGAGAACCCGCTGCCCCGGCCTGACCCCGGCCCAGCGCTGTCCCGCGCCGCGCCGAGGCCGAGGCCGCGGGCGCCCGGCTCGCTGCCCAGCACCTGGACAGCGCCCGCCCGCCCGCCCCGCCCTGCCGAGCAGCAGCTCGCGCGTCTTGGCCTCGGTCGCCGGCCCCGCGCGGCCGGACCCCAGCCCCAGGACCCCGTGGGCCCAGCAAGCGGCACTCGGTTCCGCCCCCGCCGAGGCCGGCCCGAAGGGCCGACTCCAGACGCGGGGCCCCAGGCGAGGGCTAAGCGCGGAGTCGCCGGGCGTCGGGACCCCGCGGGCGGCGGTCCTCGTCCCCCCACCTTGGCGCCCCGTTCGGGAGCCGGTACAGGACCCCCCGGCCCGCCTGCGGGTCTCACCAGGCCCCCGCCTGGGCCGCGGGACGGGGTCGGTCTCCGGGGGGCGCCTCGGGTGCGAGGAGGGCGCGGGCGGAGGCTGACGCCGCTGCCAGTGGTCCCCGAGCGGCCGCCGCCGCCGCCTTATCGCGGCGCCGCCCCCGCCGGCCCCCGCCCCGCGCCCGCCCATTGGCTCCGCCGCGCCGGAGCCGCCTCCGGGCCCCGCGGCCGCCGCCGACCCCCCTCTGCGCTTTGTCTTTCCCTCACTCGCCGTCCCCGCCTTTGTCTGCCCCCCGCGCCGCCCCGGGGCTCCGAGCTCGCTGGCCTCCGGGATCGGCCGCCCGTCTGCTCGCTCCCGACGGAAGCGACAGTGTTGGGACAGGAGCCCGAGGGCTCCGCACCGCAGCCCTCGGGGCGGGACAAGTTTAGGTTGAGGCGGCTGTAGTAGCGGGACACAGGGCACTCCCGCACAGCCCCTGGGGAGCGGAAGGGGATAACCGGGCTGAGCCCGGGCCTTTTGCTGCCTCAGTTTCCCCCGATTGGCCCTCGTGGGCAGGTCCGGGCGGCCCCGGTCCGCCCCCCCCGTGTGGGCCCTGCAGCCTCAGACACGCCGCTGGGGCGACCCCGAGGCAGGCCCGGGGTCCCCCGGTCTGGCCCCCGTGTGCCGCGGGCCGCGGAGTCCTCCCGCCGCCAGGGGCCGCCCCCGCGCGGCCCACGGAGGAAGATGGCAGCGGCGGCCGGGCACGCGGTCCCGCCAAGCCGGGCCGCGAGGCTGCGATGAAGGGGACCGGGGCACCCGCGTTCCTTCCCTTCGCCGCCCGCGGAGCTGTCCAGCAACCGGGCTCCGGTGGGACCGCCGCCTTCTGCGACCCTGCAGACAAGGGGGCCGCGGAAGCTGCTGCCCTTTGCCAGAGCCCCACCCTCCCAGCGTTTCTGTGGCCCGGGTTTTGTGTGATCAGTAATCCCTCACCCCTGGGGGCCCCAAGATGCCGAGGGCACGCCCTCAGGGAAGCGATTTTAGCACAAGGGAGCCCAGGCCTGGAGGTTTGAAGTGACTTGTTGCAAGTACCAAGCTCCCGGGCAGAGCTACTCCCTGCGCCTTAGTGCGGCCCGCTGCTAGACAGACAGGTCTGAGGCGCACGGGAGGAAGCAGGGGACGGTCACTCACTCGCGGAGCGAGCCTGGGCAACACGACCTCTGCTGGGAGGCCCGGCCTTCCTGGGCACCGGGACTGCTTGGCTTTGCCTGAAATCAGGCTGGAAGCTGTTTCGGAAAGCACAGCCCTAAACACAGCGTGTTCCCACACTGTGGCAGGAATAGAACCGGTGGCTCCGGAGCGCAGCCCACACACTTGTCAGGGAACAGAACAGCTCCCGCCTGCCGGCTGGCAGGGAACAGCAAGGCAGCTCCCCAGCCCCCAGCGATTTCCTCCTCGGCTTCACTTGTCTCCTCCAGCCTTCTGTGCTTGAGGAAGATTTGTGTTTTGCCTGCACTGTGGGCCTGAGACTCCCTGGTAGGGTGTGTGTCAGAACCCTCAAAAACTGGAGGAGTATCTTACTGGGGAAAGTTTCCACCCCTGTGAACAGATTCTTGAAGGGGGCAGTTTGATGCACGAAAAGCGAAGCCCTCAGGGGCACCGGGAGCAGGGCTGGCTGGGCAGGCCCCTAGGCCCTGCCGCGCTGCCCAGGATGGATCTGTGGGCCCAGCTGCAGGTGGCCTCCCGAAGGAAGTCAGCACTTCCGGCATGGAGAATGAGCTGACAGTAGGTGAAGAAGGTAGTCAGGAAGGAAAGAAAACTGATAGTGGGCCAGTGTTAAGAAAAGGAAAGGTTACACTCTTCTGTCATAGTATAAAAAAAAAAAAAAAAAAAAAAAAAAAAAAAAAAAAAAAAAAGAAAAGGAAAGGTGAGGAAAAAAACTGAGCTGAGGACAGGGCTGGTAATAAGTGTGACCTGGGTTTGTCACTCACTTTGCGTTGCAGGCCCCACCCCCACGCCCCCGCCTCATGGTTAATGTCATTCCCTTCATGTCAGCCAGTACCACTGCCCAAAGGAAGAAGGCTTTTTTTTTCTTTTTTAAACTGGTGTTAAAATTTCTGACGAAAAGGAAAGTGAGGGTATTTGATGGTTCAGAGTAGCTTCAGGAGAGGAGGACACTGCTGTGCCTGAGCTAGAGGAGGGACCCTCCCCGTGAGGGACAGGCAAGGGGAAAAGTGCCAGGCACTACGAGGAGAACCAGGTTGGAATCCCGCCTCCTGCTCACACACACTGGCCTGCAGCCAGACAGGACACTGGTTCTTAGGTTACTTGCTCTTTGGGGATTGGCACCCATGGTAAGGAGACACCCCCAGTCAGGTTACAAGACAAACCCTTCCACCTCCTCTCCTGCCAGAAGTGAGCATCTTCTGCCTCTATCCTTGGTGGCTGGTCTCTAGCATCTGGACCTTTCCAGCCCCAAAGTGGTTTGATGGCCACAGGCTAATATTAAGTCTGGAAATTTTAGATCATTAAGAGACAAATTTATTATGGGTTTTAAAATAAACTGGTCCACGTAGTGAAAGAGGCCACTGCTGCGTTTCCATAAGCACTCAAGGGCCTGCTTGGACGGGGACAGCAGAATGACCCTGCCTCTCGCCTGAACCCATGGCCATCCTTGTCAGCACAGACACTAGGAAGCCCGGCTTGTAGTTCCTTCGCTGATGCAAACACACAACCATGCCGTTCTCCAACGGATTCTCTAAAAATTTTAATTTGTTCTGACAATGAAACTAACACAGCACAAGGACTTAAGCCCTCGGGCTAGACAAAACATTATGGCCCTAGAGAAAGCGCCCAGGCCACTGGCTGGAGGCATTAAGATGGATTCTTAGTGGGAAAGGTATGAGGTACACAGATGAACCATGGGAAGGCTTTAGATGTCAGGGCCCCAGTGAGAAGCGGGGTAAGAGTAGACTTACCCCTTTTTAAAAGGACAGAAATACTCTTCCCTTCAATTACTAGGGAGTGGGTGGGGGGAAGGGGAAGAAGGTCGACTATTACTTGTCCCTTCATGGACCTGTAGGATGTGGAAGCATAGGAAGAGAATGGAATTAGGCTGGAAGGAGAGCAAGCACTGGGAAGAGGAGGTGATGGTTCTCTGAGTTGATGAGTCAAGCCCCGAGCTTGGACTTCAGCCCCCAGGGCCAGAGCAGCACCTCTTCCTTCTGAGGAGCTCGCCTGAGCTCAAGCTTGCAAGATGGGGCATGCCAGCTTTTGGACTCCTCCTGATCCCTAGTTGTTGGGATTCCCTTGTGTCTCAAAAGCCCAGGAGCAGTGAAGAAAAGTCTGTCTAGGAATTTCTTTCCCAGTCAGCAGCCAACTTTCCTGGCAGAATGTCCTTTTTACCCAATCTGCACCCAGGAGGGTGGGGATGTGGCCAGCCCTCAGGAAGGGCCTCCCGTGGGCCCCCACGTCCCAGGCCGGAGAATGTGCACAGTCCGCAGAGGCTCAGAACTCCCAGTCGTCCACCTCCAGCTCTTCCAGGTTCGAAACTAGGCCAAAGATTCCACTGTGATCCTGAGACTGGCTGCCCTCAAAATTGGTGATGGGGGTGACGGGACGAAGTAATTCAGGCAAAGCCTCTGAGGCACGTCGCTTGATCTGGGGAAGGAGAGAGTTTGGTAATGGACCCTGTCGCTCTTGGTCCCAGGACACCATGGGGCAAGGAACCATGGCCCAGTGACAGATGGGCTGTCAGAGCCAACAGACTCGAGGAGCTCCTTCCTCTTGTTGAGGGGCTTCAGAAACATGGTGATTTCTCTGATTCAAAGGGGGGAGGAGAGAATACCTAAAGACCCCAAAGCTAAGGAGATGGCAGGTAGTTAGAACCAAAGGTGAGAAAAAGCAGAGAGCTGAGGGCAAGTGCTACTGTACCTGCTTGAAGAAAGAGTGGTTCAGGAGGGTGCTGGCACTTGGCCTGAAGAGAAACAGCAGAGAGACCAATGTCAGCGCTGTGCCCCTGAGTTCCCAAGTTTGCCTGCTACGCCTTCTCCTCAAGGGCCCGCAGTTTCTCCCCTTGGCTCGCCTCGGAACCATGGCCAGAGTGCCCAGGCTGGCTTCTTAGCAAACCTGGGTGCTGATCTCGCTTGCTATGGGGCACTAGATTTTTCTGGGAACCCAGACCCTTACAGAACCTTCGAGAGGTACATCCTGTCCAACTCTGGTCCTACCTCCAGTGTTCCCCCTGCCCTCCCCGAAGCCCAGCCCCAGGCCAGCAGGGATACCTTGTGTCCGGGTTACGCTGAAGGCACTGCTCCACAAAATGGTGGAAGTGGGGGGAGAAGGTTCGGTGGTAGGGGTGGCAAGGTGAGTCGCCGTTGGAGGGCCGGGGGTTGCTGGTGGTCAGGTTCTCACTCAGGCCAGGGTTGGCCGTGGAGCGAGAGCGGCTCATGGTCAGCTCCTCGGTGGGGATGGTGCTGGTGTCCAACAGGCAGGGCACTGTGCCGTTCAGTTTCTCCAGCAGCATCTGGGAAGGACAGAGCCGGGCCGGGGCTGGAAAGGGTCCCCTAGAAGGTCTAGAGAGTCTCATCACAACTATACTTTTTCCAATATACAAACGTGATCTTTTGGGAGTGGCGGAAAGATGGAAGTGGAGTAAGTCTAACTTTTCCAAAGGAATGCTGTCACTGGTGTGGCAGCTACACTCTAGCGAGGCCACCATGAAAAGGAGGAAGGGATTGCACAGAAGACCCCCTTTCACATGGCTGGAAGGAAGGGCTCGCAGTTTCCTCTCTCCTCTTATAAGGCATCAAATTCCTTTCACTGTTGAGCCCTGGCCCTGGCACTCCAGCCTGGGCAACAGAGACTCTATCTCTAAAGAAAAGAAAATAGAAAATAAAAATTCAGCTCCTCAGTCTCACTAGTCACATTCTAAATGCTCAATAGCCACAGGTGGCTAGTGGCTGCCATACTGGACAGCACAGATACAGAACAGCTCCATTGCTGAGGAAAGTTCTACTGGACAGCACTGCTTCTAGATCTGAACCTCCTATTTACCATAACGAGCCTTTTAACTCTTTCCTGAATATGTTTTTGTTACTGAATTGTTTTGCTTAGATTTCCTAGACTCCTTACCTAGATTTCCATACCCTCCTTACT